TATATATATATATATATATATATATATATATATATATATATATATATATCAAGAGCTCTATATATATATATATATATATACATACATAATGGCAGGGACTTTTTATGTTTCAGTCATCCGTGGGAAACTGTAGCTAAAGCTGCATGGAGAAAATACCCGAATCCTATAAATCCGGCAGTAGTTGCATTGGATGTGCTCGACCGCAAGGTAGAAAATGGCGTACTGAAAACACAAAGACTGATCAGCTCGTCCTGGTCGCTACCAGGGTGGGTGGCAACTGTAAGTATGTACAGGTGCAAGATCACCGTCCTAATATATGCGTGAGAGCTTGGTGATTAAGGTCATGGCTACGCGTCCAGTCATATATTTCTTATGTGAACCCAACTATATTTTTTTCAGTAAAAAACAATAAATCATAAGTTATTACCGTAATATTACTTACCTATAGGTATTTTATCAAAAAAATGTTTTTGTAACTTTTGAAGCGATAGTAAATCCAGTAAAATCAACGATTTGAAAGGGGGCGTGGCCTAATCGTGACGTGGATTTGGGAATGTGTGCTGAGCTTTGTAATAGATGACCGGATGCGTAGCCACTGCATTTTTTTAAATATTATACATTCACAAATAAAAATATGTGGTAAAACTTGAGAATTACTACTAGAATTTATTCTGCTATAATATATAAATTGGCAATAACAACCCGTTCTGCTATAATATATAAATTGGCAAACAAACGGTCACATTCTTGAACGTTGCGGCAGTTGCTTTGTAAATGGCGCTGCATACACAAGTGCATTTACTTTTGCCAAAAGTACATTTAATTTTGTGATGTAAGTGGTCCTAGACTGGTACCGAATCTCTATTACTTTATTCAAGCGACTTTTAACAAAGCGTAGAGACGGGTTCTCGCCAGAAACGTGTGACATCAACAAGTAATCAACAATAATAAATCAACAAGGAGATTTCAATCGTTGCATATATTGGCAAAAAGTAATGATGTACGAGTGTGCTAATAAGTGTTAGCCTTACTGTAAAACTTGCTGTAAGACATGCGATACCACTAAGTATCTTATTGGCGAGAAAATATGAGAATGGTTCAATGGGAAAATTGCTCAAAATCCTTACTGGAACTGGTAGATTTTAGCACCAATACTTGTAGCTATGGAGTTTAGCTAAATGGATGTAATTTTGGCCTCTGAGCTGGTTGGCTGATAGACATTCAATAACACTTTGCTATCAATGCATAGGTAATATCATGTAGATGTGTAATGCTATAATTTAAAACTGTACTATTGTAATGTCACAGGGAACACCTCGGCAGTTAGTTGCACAGACCACGAGTAGTGCATTTTGCCACAAAAATTGTTATATTTTGCTTACAGATGTCAGTGAACTTACAGAAAATATATCTTTTATAATTAATTTGCATATTATTAACCTGTTTCAGTTACTAGGAACTGACCAGACCTGTTATGTTTGTGAATTTTCTGAAGTTGACCCCTCAAAACGAACATTAACATTAAAGTCAAGAAATGTGAGTATATCGTTTACATATGAATGCAAAGTATTGTTTACTAGATAATAATGTGATACATAAGTTCACATCATGTAATTTGGATGTATTCTGCATATTTATTAGTGTTGATTTAAGTTATTATCATTTTCAAATTGTTACCATTACCAGAGGCTTGTTACGGTGTTGTTATTTTTATCACCTCCATGCTGCTTATAAATATGAGTGTGCAGTACAAACTGGTTTCATTACAGAAGGTAATAACAGCCATTTGTGATTACGTAACAAAAAGGGAAGGGTAGTGTTCAGGGTTCTTATGATAGTTACACATGGGCATGTTCATACTGAGTATCCCTCTTTCAATGCGTGATTGACTGACTGACTTTGTGTTGCAGCTTACGTTATGCAATCTCGTATCAGTGGATGAAAGATTATCATACAGTCCACATCCTGATGACAGCAGTCGGTGAGTACCATAAGTTCGGAATCCCAATGCCTAATATTGAATATTTTGTTGTTGCTATCTTACAGTGCTTTCGTGGATACTATTTGTGTCGATGACTGATTTCTAGTTGGCAGTGTAATATGTTTAAATACAATATTTGTAAATGTCATCATATGCTGGTATTTTATATGCAAGTTATATTTCTAAGTTCTTCTATTCCTAAGTCATGCTCAGGGGCGTAAATCTCGGGGGGGATGGGGGGATGCATCCCCCCCGCTCTTGAAGGAGGGGGGGATGGCCTGTACAAATATCCCCCCTGAGATTCAAAAAAAAAGAGAAAAAAAAGAATAGCCAAAAAGTATGGTTGCAAACATACAAAAACACGTGAAATTGTGAGAAATTGCAATTCTTACCTGTGTTTTAATACATGTATTATTACTATATAGTAACCTAACTGTGTACGCTCTCTAAAAAGTCATGAAAAGTGTTTTGAATCCTAACTTGTAGGGTTGAGTCTAGGGTTGAGATAGTGTCATCAGACATGAGAATATGGCCCACAGTATGCCTCAGATTGCAGGAAAATGGCTTAAATATTTCAAAATCTTCAGACCCCCCCTAGCACTGGCATGCCTACGGCACGCGGGCTTGCCTGCGGCAGCCAAGGTTAATTTTGCCCCCGGCTATCGCCGATCATCCCCCCCACTCCTCGGTACGTATTTACGCCCCTGGTCATGCTTCCCTTTTTTGCGATTTGATCACTTCTGTACTATGTTCATCAGGTACTTGCTACAGTTGTAAACAGTGTCCAAAAATCTTGTATGTACGTTATTTACAGGACATTGCTGAAACAGGAAGCAGAGATAACTATTAAAGGACTGCCATTAACCAGCTACTTGGAAGGTGTTGTTGTTGACACGATGTCGTCGAAAGCAACTCAGGTGTGTACATTATCTTGCCCCCAATTTGACAATTACATGCCAAACAATGGGTGCTGTTTATGCATATTCACGCACGTCAAACTGTTGCCCACAAATTTAGTCCGATGTTTGAATTCTATCACTAAGAGGCTTGTGTGCTGCAACTATAATGGCTTTTAAGTTTTGCAGTGGTAGAAGAACTTGATGAAGAATACCATAAGTCGAAACTAGTAGTTTATCACTAAACTAGTAACTTTATGGCATCAACTAATACGTAATATGCTAGTTGAAACCACACGGGCTACCACAGTGGATATATGCCTCGTAAAGCCCGTCCAGGCTTCTTTCTCACATGTGCTGCAATGATAACGTTTGTCACTCGAGTCGTGCTTATCGGCGCTTTTATTTGTAACCGCTAGTGTTGTCAATCGGTTGTAATTTCGTAATCGATCATCGGTTGGACCCAAGTAACCGATGATCGGTTACAATCGCGTTCTGCACACCGAGGACACGCCGTGTGAATGCCATGCGTCGTGCGTAACGTCGTGTGCATGTACGTGGAGTGCTGCATGTATGTGCCTTGTTTAGCCTGCTTTACATGTTTGTTTTGCACTGTTTATCTTACTGTGTGTATAATCCCATGTATGTTAATAAAGCGATAACTTGGATAGTAGCCGATGATATCTCTGATTCTCATCACTTTCAAGTTTCTAGTGTCGCTATAAAAAAAAGAAAGGATTTTGAGACAAAGCGGCTTGGTTCGCAGCCACTGTTCAACCGAATGATCCGAGTATAATCGATGATCGTGACATCACCTAGTAACCGCAACATGAAAACCCGCCATTGCCAGCCTCTCTCGCATGGACGGCTCCTGCTCACACTCGGCGCCGTCTACTACTTTCAAGTGCTCGACAAAGCGCGCTGGACTGGGTCATCGGCCGCATCAACAACGAGGTTCACGAGTTGACGGTGGCGGCGGAGCGCGGCCGTTGACAGACGATCGCGACGGCAGCGCTGGCGGAGCAATCGGGACCGACGTCGCATGGCGGCGCGCAGCGCGGCAGTTGACAGCCGTTGCCCGACGCGTTCAGGCGCGGCGGAGCATGGACGACGTCGCGTTGGCGGCGGAGCGCGGCGTTGACAGCGTTGCGACGGCAGCGCGGCGGAGCATGGACGACGTAGCGTCGGCGGCGCGTCACGGCATGGGCGACATCGAGCACAACCTCGAGCAGCTGTCTGGCAGCACGACGTTCGGCACGTGATGACGGCGCGTCGCTAGCAACGCGCGTTGTCCGACGCTGCGGCAGGCGCGGAGAATGCCGCACGTCATGTTTCTCACACCTACCCAACCCACCCAACCCCTCCCGCGTCGCCGCGTATCCATCCGGATCTCTGGCGGTTTTTCTTTGGTTGCGAGACGGCTCTCTGTGAATTATTAGGCATCAACTGCGAAAATCACTATTTATTCTTGAAATTGGTAGAGCGCCGACTTATCAGCATTGCTGCTGTTGCCTATACGAAATGATCTATCTCATCAATCGTGTTTCGATTCCATATAGAGTTCAAACATTGAGTAGATTATTTGATTGTTTAAACTTTACGTAAATTTTGTGGCTACAACCCGTTTGGGAATTTCTAACTATTTGTAATTGCTTACAGCGTCATAACTTTTAATATTTTGATATATAACTTGTTCATTGATATATAGAAAAAATTTCATATGGTTAGGAAATTACAGGGAATGCAGGGAATTAGAAATCTTTATATATAGATCTAGATATTTTAACAATAGTGACCTCAAGCTGAGGAGTTTTACTGTGATTTGTTTACTGTTAAACCCCAGAAGTTAGGTACTGTTAATTTGTAATTGCTGTTCAACAAATTATGTAACGAGGTATCAGTTATTGAGTATTGCAGAGCCAAATTTTATATCTGCATGGAAACTATAAACTATATTAAAGCTGCAAAAGTTATTAAACAAACTGTGTGGAAAATCGGTGAACGTTAAAAAATAGAAAAATCGATTGTTTTAATTAATGAGAAACTTCTGTGATAGTTTTTGCCTTAATAAACTATTATGAGAATGAAATTCATTTGTTGAGATTTTAGTTACAGCACATGTACATTGTAACCTAAACACGTTCCTTGTTTCTTCCACTGCTTGAGCGATTTTGGTGTCCAGCTGAAAGCATTCAATTGTGATTTGCATTTTATTAGCCATAAGCTTGTATAATATCCGTGAAACATAAACTAAGCCATTTGGTATCCGTTTGTAATACCACCCTATCAATCAGTAAATTTGTTGGATAGGTTACTTCATAGATATCCCCAAAACACATAAATCCCGTGTGCATTTGACATCTATTGGTTAGTTACACTGAGCTGTATATAATAACAGTTTATAACTGTTTTTATATACAGCTCAGTGGTTACTTATGATCATGGAGCTAGCCAGCTCTGGCTCCTTGCTTATGATGACAGTAGCGATGAGCAGCAACGTTGTCAGACGATGTAAAGGCGTATTTTGGCATTCTGGGTCTAGATTCATCATTGGTGCGTACGCTACTGCACGTAGGCATGCGTCCTACGAATGCCCTTCTCTTCCCTTCTCTTTTCCTTCTCTCCCTTCTCTTTCCCTCTCTTCCCCTTTCTGCCTCTCTTCTCTTCCCATGTACTTCCTTCACCCTCTCCCCTCCCCTCCCTTCCTCGCCTCCTTCTCCGTTCCTTATTCTTCTGCTACCGCCTCCTTCCTCCTTTACATCCTCCCACTCCTCCTTCCATTTTCGCTCCTCCTACTCTCCTCATCTACCCCTCTCTCCTCCTAAAGAACTATCCCCCACTCCTCCTCCTCTTCCTCCTCCTCCTTCTCTACTTCCCCCTCATCCTTCACCACTCATCCCACTCTTCTCTTCCTCATGCATCTATCTCCTATCATTCTCCCCTTGTACCTTTTCACATATACCTCGCCTTTTCACATCTACCTCGCCTTCTCTCTCTTCATTTACCTTCTCCTCCTCCTCCTCCTGCTCCTCCTCCTCATCCTCCTCCTTCTCCTCCTCCTCATCCGCCGCCGCCGCTGCATTCTCCTTGTCCTCCTCCTCCCACTCTTCTTTTCCTCTTCCTCCCACTCAAAATTTTCCTCCTCCTCTACCTCCTCGGCTCCCCCTCCTACCCTTCATATCTACCTCCCGTTCTCTCTTCCTAAAAAAACATCTCCCACTCCTGCACCTGCCCCTTCTCCCTTTCGCCTATATTCCCTCCTTCCCTACTTCTTCCCTTCTTCTATAGCTACCTTCTTCCTCTGCTGTTACATTCTAACTCATATCTTTCTGTAGCTCTTCCAAATTACCGCTCCACCTCCCCTTCCTTCCTCTACCCTCTCTTCCTCCTTCCGTGATTCTCTTGCTCCTCCTCCCCTTCCCCATCCTCTCTTGCTTTCCTACACCTCAATTCCCCACAATTTTCCTCTCTCTCTCTCTCTCTCTCTCTCTCTCTCTCTCTCTCTCTCTCTCCGCGCTCTCTCTCTCCCTCATCATACTGCCCTCCCCCACCTATGATCTTCCTCTACGGCGTAGCAAACCAAGTTTACTACCAGATATCGGGCAACTTTGCCGTCGAGAATAGCGTTGCTGGTGATAGGAACAACGAAACCGAAGCGATTACTCTCAAAAATGCACGGCCAGACAGTTCTCGCCCAGTTCTCGCATGTGTATGGGTAAGTCGTAAGAGAATCAAATGAGAATATGAAATAACGTATAAAATTCAGCAGATACTTGATTATTTGCATCAAAACAAAACATCACGGCTATCATATACGATGGCACGGCCAAATACGATAAACCATATGGATAAACTAATGCCGTACCGTAATTTGCGCTTGCGCGCGCGTTCCGCGACGCGTCTATTTTTTCCGTACCGCAAATGCGCAAACGTCTTACACGGCTTCCTCTGATTGGCTGCTTTGATTTGCTTTGACGCAACCATAGAAATAGATAGATAACCATTTGTGTTAATAGTTCATCATCAGTAGATAAGTAAGTTTTCTGATGTATTTTCTATGGAAAACACACATTTTACTCATTAATATAAAATATAATATCACTATAATTACAATTCTGTGTGTAACTGTGTTATTTTCATCTTAATCTCAAGTTATGAGAGGGTTTGGGCTCTCGTAACACTTACTACATACGTACGTATGCGTACTCGGCAGCTGAAGGGGTCGTTGTCGTATCAGGTACTACAGATATCTTCCCTATTATCTACTCCTGCAGATATGTACCCGAGGTACGTATATTAGGATTTGTCATTATTGGTTTGTCATTATCAGGTTTATCATTATCAGGTTTGTCATTATTGCTCCTGCGTATATGATTGTATACACAATTGTGTACCAGACCTGTATCTTCTCAGCATATATGTACCCTGTGTTTACATAAACGTACGTACCTGCCCCTGAGATGGAGATCGAATGAAGACGGTCATGGAGGAGGAGTAGGGGGCAGGAGGAGGAGGAGGAGGAGGAGGAGGAGGAGGAGGA